ACTACCCATAAGCATGCTGTCTTCTGCTACACCCACTTGCAGTCAGTTGACTTCACAGTTGCCTGTGCTTTTTTTTTTTTAAACTCCCATTTGGTCCCATGAAATGAAATTTCCCCCATGTCCATCTCTTCCTTACAGTAACTGTTGTATTTGCCATATTTCCTCTCTTGTTTAATTTCAGAGTTTAATTTAATGAAAAAAGTGGTAAGAACATTAGCTGGTTTTGTCTCATGCAAATAATTTAAAATCTTTGAAGTATTTAAACAAGATTGCTCAAAAATACAAATGGTGCTTGCAATAAATAGTTGATTTTTTTTTTATGAAAGTGTAAATTACTGATGGAGTTAAACCTGACAATTATTGGAGGTTAATATTTTAACTGCAAAGTCTACTGAAATGGCTGCACATGTGGAGAAATACACAAAGCATTAAGTGAAATGCTCATGTTTGCTTGATTTATTCTCTGCAGCAGACGGACTCTGGTAGTAGGAGGTGTAATTTGCAGCACATTAGCTATTAGCCAGTGTCATTGCTTGAGTGGGTGGTGTGAGTCTCTTGTGCCTGTACAGTGTCATACTGCGCATGTGTCAGAACTAGGTGCTTCTCCCCTGTGCTGTAAGATGAATTTTTTGTGAACAGTGATCTGTATTTAAAACTGTGAATCTGTCAGTTTTCAAATGGGTTATTCTGTCACTTGGATAATATTTAAATGCCTGCCTTTTTCCTTTTTCTTCTCTTTTTTTTGCTCTGTGTGTCCCGTTCTCTCCCCCCCCCCCGTTCTTAATGTTTTGCAAAACTGAATTGTAGAAGTGTTTGACTTACCTACCTTTTTTGGTATGCGGTCCCCTGAGGATGAAGTATGTAATTTGCGAGACACCCAGCCTGTAAGAGCAAGCAAAATTGTGCTACCATTTCTTTTTTGGGTACCCTGTGCATGTACTTGTGGTGTTCAGCAGAGGTTTTCCAAGAATCTCAGCTTGATGCATCTTTTTTTGTGTGCACAATTCCACTTGGGTTGCTTTTAGTTCACTTTTTTCCCTAGAGGCACCTGTCTCCTGCCACATACCCATCAAGACTAATTGCACCATCTGGAAGACTTTTGTGTAGCTGTTACTTGTGCAGAATATCTCTTGGGAGCTTAATTCAGAATGTGAATGTGACCCCTGAAGCCATGTCAAGTAGCTGCAGTAGTTTCTAGTGTCTAAAGGATGATCACCGTAGGCTTTATTTGTTTCAAGTCCAATGCGGTTTGCTTTAGTGTGGATATGTTACATGTCACTAGCACAACTTCAGTCATGTTTTGAATGGAATTAGACTTTGACTGCTGGTTTGGTAATTCATAGAAAATCCTGTCTAAAATTACATCCAAACCATATCTAACATATAGGCTATATGATTAGGTGTAGAAATGACAGGCAAGTTGCTCCTTATTATTACACTATTTAGTTTTTATGTCCTGTTCTTCCCCCCACCCCACATCTGCACTTCTCATTAATAGTTTTTTGCTAAGCATGCAAGGCATTCATTGCTAGTGGTGTTGCCAGCCCCCTGAACAGCTCTGAACACTTGTTTTTGTTACTGCTATGAAACGGTTTGAATATTTTCAGCACAGGTAGTTTTCTGCTTCTGTTCCTCACCTAGTCTGAATCAGGTAGAAGCACTGTAGTGCTTCACTTCTAGTGGTGTCTGTCTAGGCAGAGGCTTATTTAAAGGCCAGTGCTTTATAATCCTGTGGTGAATACCTTTCTTCTCTACTTCTGTAATATCCTGTCCCTTGGCAAGCTGTAGAGCACTAGGCATGAAAACCCAAAGTGTTCTGATTGTTAAAAGTATCACCATAATTTGCTATATTTCTTTTTTGTTTGTTTTTTGTTTGTTTTTTTTAAAGTGTTACTCATTTCTCATGGATCCTGCATTTAGTAAGGCACTCTGATTTTACTAGCATACTTATGTGGAAAAAAGCAATTTTTTCCTAAAACCGCTTTTGTTTTAAAATGATGGAATTGTAAATGGAGTTGAGGAAATATATTTGAATTTAATTGCATCATCTGTGTAACTTGTGTGCTTGTGAGTAATGTGGTCAACTGAAGTTTAAGCCAGAGAAGTACTTACACCATCACAAACAATTATGAATTCTGTATACAGGATACATACACACTATATATTATTCATTATATGTATTTTCTGTTTTTTCCTGGGTAGTTTAATGTTCATTCTGACTCTGACTTTGGAAATCTATAAAGTTTTAAGTGTTTAACTGTCTTGGCTGCATTCTGTTAACTGTATATTGGTGAGAATAAACGTATGCAAGTTATAAATTCACAGAATATTGAAGGCAAGCAGCTGTCCCCTCCTCTTTAAAATCCCTCGCTACATGTATCTGGTAAGCAAAATAAAGGTGGATGTTGCAGGACTGCAGTGTGTGCTCTCGGGGAGAGATCTGAGCTGCACAAGCTCTCCCAGCTTGGAGTGGTTGAGAAGTACTGCGGACTGGTCTACAAAATAAATCATTGTCTGCTCCGGGAAGTTATATAGTATCTTCCTTTCAGTGGTTCTTATGCTGTTTTATTCAGGGTTTGTTTTGGTTGTTTTTTTGAAGGATCTTTGAGGATGGAAGAAGTGAGAGCTGGTGGCTCTGTGGCATGGTTTCTTCTCAGGAAGTTATGTTTGGTTCTCGTGTGCTAAAATCTGTGCTGACTGTCTTCCACTAAAATATTGATTACCCATGTTCTTGTAATTTTCAGAAACATTTTAATTGGTTTATTTTAAGATTAGCTAGCAAGGTAATGTGTTAATTGCTATTTGCATTTTGCTGCTCTGTTAAGAGAGACTAACATTTAATTGCATTATTGCAGATTAAGATTGGTGGCTAGTGCTTGCTTTTGGCTAAATTTCAGCATTGACTGTAAACGTTTGGTATCCACTTGGTTCTTAAAACCTCAACATAGTTGAACCAAACTCTGTTACTGTCTGAGGCCATGCACACTTGCTCTCTCTTTTGGAAATTTAGCAGAAGCTGGTACCTTCTCTAGCACCACAGCTGCCCACGTTGCTGAGAGTGTGGGGTGTAGTGCCGCCAGGCTCGGTATACCCCACCCCTAACTTGTCCTGGGTGCGCCAGCCCATTAGTCTACAGGTGAAGCAAATGGGTTGTGGGCATATTAGAAAGGCACAAAACAAAAAGCCATGGCTGCGTTTGGCTCATTAGACACCACCAGAGCTAAAAATGTTGTGGTAGGAAGCTGTACGAGCCATGCTGGCCTCCTCTTACGTTAATCATTAGTGGCATTTGTAGGCTGTGACTGCATTAAGCATGAGCTGAGCTCAGGGCTTCTCTGGAGGGGGAAGTATTAGCCTGGAATCAGTGCAGGTGTGAAGGTCAAGCCCAGTAGCTATCCAGTACCAGCTACCTGGGTGGACCCTCTCATTCTTCTCTAGGAAGCTGTACGAGCCATGCTGGCCTCCTCTTACGTTAATCATTAGTGGCATTTGTAGGCTGTGACTGCATTAAGCATGAGCTGAGCTCAGGGCTTCTCTGGAGGGGGAAGTATTAGCCTGGAATCAGTGCAGGTGTGAAGGTCAAGCCCAGTAGCTATCCAGTACCAGCTACCTGGGTGGACCGTCTCATTCTTCTAGAGCTTTTTGAGATGTGTAGTTTGGGCCATTTCCGCATCTCTAGGAAAGGTTGTAAAGACTCAAGAAAAGAAGTCAAGATTTTTTTTTGCAGTAGCACAAGAGCTTTCACACAGAAGGGTGCTATTAAAATAAAATTTTTTTTTAATGTTTATGTGTCTGTGTAAATGAAATAGTATAAGATACTGTATACTATCTGAAGATACTCTTGTGTTGTGAAGTGGTGTAAATGTAATGAAAAAAAATCCAAATTAAACTTTAGGTTGCATGCACTGTTTTCTTTATTCAAACGTACTTCCAAGATCAACATCTTAAACTTTTATTCAGATGTTTTAAAGACAGTTCTGTTTTGATTTCCTTCAGTTATTAGGGCTAAAATTGTACTCTGGAATAAAATGAGTTAAAGTGCTTAGTAATCTGTGATGTCGTTCTTCATATGATTTATTTAACAAATATTTAGATGATACTGGAGATACGGGCTCTTATTTATTAGAAATTAGTTTACAAATTTAATAGCATCTGGAATGTATTATCCTTTCTTCTAGCTATTTCGCCTTATTGATGAATATAGGAAGTAGAAAGCAGCTTGACAAGGACAGAAAGAATACAATTGGAGACATTGCAGTCAAAAAGGAAAGCTAAGCTTGCTTTAAACCAAGTTAAGTTCTGAGATGGTGTATCTAAGTGGTCATTTAGAATTGCTTTCAACAGATATGTTTTTGGGGGCAGTTTCCTTTTGACCCCAAATTTAAAGGTGCAGTATTTGAAACAGTTATTTTGCTTAAAACAGCCTGTCTCTACTTCATTTATCTCTAACTTTTATGTCTTTCATCAGGTTCTGCAAAGTCTATTCCTAATATACTTAGACATGTTGTATGTATTGTGCAGTCTGTTCATAACCATTCTGATTTAAACTGTTCCCTTTCAGCAAGTTATAGATTTTGGTTGTACCTTTCCTCCTTTCCCTTTCTTCTCTTGAAGTATGAGGCTTCTTTTGGCTTTTTTGTACTTCAGACAAGAAACTGAAAGCTCTTATTTTCCTGTTACAGTAGATCACGTTGAATTATTCTGAAATACTCCTTTCATGACATGACATGAAATGCAGGACGTATGCTGCTCCTTGGAAATAAACAAGATTTAATCCTCAATACTTGCTTTTCTCTGCAGTAGTAGTATTTCATTGTAAGTGTCAGGTAAAGGATGGCAAAAGATCATGATTAATAATTGCAGCTTATTTCCATGCAAACGTGAATATTAAAGACTTGATGAAATTATGGCAGCCTGAGGTCTGAGTCTTTCTTTCCACTTTGGTATGACCAGTGAAAATGGATTGTGAAAACATGCTTTTTTTTCTTTCCTTTTTGCAGAGGTTTTGTGTACGATAGCCGAAATAATTTACAGATGCGAGGTTTGGTCGTATTACTTATTTCCAAAGCTGCTGGACCCAGCACGGCAGAACTCTCTTTCCAGCACAACATGGTCAGTGGAATTTATTCCAGGTATGTAGTAACTTTCTTTAGCCAGGTACGTTTGATGAGCAACTTCATGGTGGTATCAAAGCATCTTAAGTGGTCTGCTCAGCTGTTAAGGAAAATCAGTACTTAACTAATTACAAAACTTTGTTCCTCAGGATTATCATAAGCTTTCCACAGTGAAAACCATTTCTACTCTTTATATAGCTCTTAAAATAGCCACACTTATATCTTAATTGTGGCTTTTGGGCACAACCAAATTAAAAACCTTTGGATCGAGATAGTTATTTGAAAGCTTATGTTGAGAGGGACTTGGAATCAAAAAAGTAAAGATGCTAGAAAATATTTTTTAGTAGTATTTTCATTTTGGGTTACTCAGGTGTTACTCGGGTACACGTACGTACTAGAAATTTCAGAGTCAGAATGCTAGGCTTGTGGAATACCAGTTGGTTTCACCGAGCATGTAAGTTTTGCTATAGCCCCTTTGAAGGATATTTTCCCATGAAACAACAGTGCAGAATAAAGTTTTTGCCTCCCACGTGTCACAGCAGAATTACTGAGCCTACCATTAAGGTTCCTCAGGCTCTCACTGAGATAATTCAGCCTCATCGAGTTCCTAAATATTTTTTAAGTATTTAAACTAAATTACTTAATAGTAGTAACAACAGTAATAAAAAATAGTGGTTGCCCTCCTTTGTATATTTGACAGTTAACTGTTCCACTGAAGTAATAAGTGAGATCTGGTTGAAAAATTGTAAAGTTTGAATTTTTGAAACCCTTCTGAAAAATTGTGAGTGTTGCTTGGTTGAGGGAACAGGCTGTCATATTTTCAGTTAATTGTGTTTCTGACCACTGTGATGTATTAAATGAAGATACAGAAACGTAGTGACATGTTTGTATCCTGATTTGTTTTAGAAGTGCAGAGATAGCATTGTAAAATTGAACAGACCAAAAAAATAAAGATGTTAAATTATATGTAGTATCTTAAAATAACAGAGAAGGAAAATACGTATGAATGGGTACAGACAGAAATAACAATAAGTAAGAAAAAAGACAAGGCTATAAAAGAGGCTTGTTATGGAGGGCTGTGTTGTCCCTTTAGCTGTTTAATTCCATTCTTGTTTTGTTTCATCCTTAACGTCCCCTTAGGGTTGCAAAATTTTTATATTTATATGCAAATGATACTGTATGAAAGCATAATTCTAGGTAGTTAATTATGGCACAGGAGATATTTTAGTTTGTTTTGTAAATGATTAAAAAAGTTTACCTTAAGTATGCCTCATAAAAGGAGAGAAAAAGTGTTATTTTTTGATAACTGAGTTCTTGAGTATGATGATCCTGACCATGGAGGTGACGTTTGAGCGTTTAAAGCTGCCGTTGGGAAGGTGACTAGTGGAAGTATTCATTAAGGAGCAAATAAGACCTTGAATTAATAATGAGCCAGTTGGTGTAAATGGACATCATTGGAACTATGCCAGTTCAACCAGCTGAAAATCTAGCCTAATAATCTAAGTTTGAGCAAGTCAATAGCCATTATAATATCTAGTTCAGAGTTACAAAGGTACTCCAAAAATGAAGCCATTTTGAATACGCCCACACAGGTTCACTTAAGGTTCATTACTGTCTGCACAAGTGATAACTATGGAGTTGTTAATTTAAATGGATTTTCAATGACACTTCAAGTCTGTAGCACGGTATAAATACAAACTGATGCACGCTATGAGAATGCCAATGCGTTGTTTCATTTTGTGCCGTAGTGGCCAGTTCTTGCCCTCCACCGAAGTCACTGTGGGCTTTGCCTTTGACTTTGGACTCCTTTCTTTATTTAAGGTACTTTTCCAAATACACTCTTAAATGTGAGTCTAATTTCTGATTTTTATTTCCTCATTGTATAAAGCTAAGAGAACAGGCAGCTTGTAAAATTGTGATCTTAAAGGGCTTTTGTGATTGTTTTATGTATTACAAATAATGTTTTACAAACTGCTTTCTCCTGAATAAGAACAAAAGGACATAATTTTCCATTAGAACATTTTTGTCTGCTATCTTGGTTACGGTGTAATTATATATGGTGTGTGTATTAGACATACATATCAAAGGCAAAGTATATCCCTCAGTGATATGAAGTGAAGAAATACGCTTAATCCTTTATTGTTCCTATATGTCTCCAGCTTTGGAAAGTATTTTTTGGAAATAGATTCTTACAGATTTTCAGCTCAGCTGTAAACTATACAGCTCTTTTTGTTGCCATGCCATATAATTACTTCATCTTTATATATAATATTTTGCTGGAAATATTATTTCTGGCACTGTAATGAGCATCTTCATTGCCTGATAGTTACGTGCTGTGAATGTTATATTGTGGACTATTAGCTGGGATATGGCTTGCTTGATTTTAGGGTACTTAGTAGTGATTAATTAATTGCATTCCTGAAATTCGAGCATGAGCTAAGTTGTTCCAGTACTTGTCAGTGATTGCACCAGTCCAGTCTTTCTTTTCCCACTGTTTGTGTTGGAACCAGCTCTTGTGCTCTCTTTAAATATTCAGTCCCGCAGTGGATAGCCCGGTTACATCAGTCCGCTATATCTGGTACTCCACTAAACGTACAATCTGTGGCCAGGAAGATGTAACAGTGCGATAATTATTTAACTTAGAAAACCACAAAAAAACATGGTGGACTTTTTCATCCTGGAATCTGGCGTGTTCTGCATAACCTCTTCTCCCTATTTCATATTCTTGAATCACAATATAAGCAAGCAATACAATAACTATAATTAAAACAGAAAAACACTGAGAGCTGAATTTGGAATAGCAAAAAAATGTTGGGTTTTTTTTCTCCTATTCTCCTGTTCTCTAGATATGTCAATTCATGGGACAATTGACCTAAATGTATAAAAATAGTTTAGCTAGCTGCTTAGCTGGCATCTGTTTTTTTACTGGTACACAATGGAACAAAACTGATGCCTGCTACCAGAGAGCAATCTTTTCCAGAATGATGAGGATTACAATTTAGGTAGTTACAGGAACAGGGCTAGCGTAGTTATATGGTGCTGCCTCTGGCCGGCATTGCCTCCAGCTTTAGCACTTCATAATTTGCAGGAGACGTGTTCTGCCCGCCTTAAGCTGGGGGCTTGGGGGTCATTGTACGCAAGGATATCATAGTAACTGTTGGTTGCCTTATGAGCCGTGCTGAAGATAAGGGGGGAATTGTTATAAAAGTCTGCTTGGCATGCTTGACTCTGTACAGCCACCTCCCTATCATGTTGCCAGCAACCTGACTTTATTCCTATTGGCGGGGAAAAGAACCTGGCTTTACTTCCAGCTCAGCACCAGTGATCCCAAAAGAGGATGAGGAGGAGAAGTAGCAGCATGATAAACAGCTGTATTTCAGCTGCTGGATAGATTTCCTGAAGTTGAAACTTTCTGCTGGTCTCTTAGCCTTTAGGAAAATATTTCCTTGGCTACAGAAGCATTGCAAATGTAATGATGAAGTGCAGTGCTCGCTACAGAGTATGCAAGCAGTATCATGTAAGGGTTGATGTCATTGCCTGTACTCAAGCAAAGCGGCATCCTGTATTCCCTTGAAATTCCTTCCTGCTCCTGTGCTGAAGAGAAAGCAGAACTCACATTTGGGTTTAGGCAGAATCTAAGTAATGATAATTTGTCATGCTAATAGTATCAGAGAACACCTTAGATGTGACATGGGAGCCTAGAGCTTCATAACAGATTCATAAGAGCGTTGAGACCCATTTCCTAACTGGTGATTATACTAGAGTCTGACACTCCTCTCTGTTGCCTTCTTTCAGAGCAAAACTCACTTGGATAGTCAAGTATGCAGCTTGCTGTTCTTTTACTTTGCTGCTGGAGGTGAGGTTTTTAATTGAAGCTCCAGGATCATATGGTTTCTGAACACTTACAGCTTTATGCTTCATAGTTGGAACTAGATTCTTACAGTTGAAGATACCAAGACTGGCTTGGGCCCTCTCACTAAATACCCAAATGGGTATCTTACTCTGTTCATGTCTGGCACTGCCAGACACTACTGGCTGGGGATTGAGGAATCTCCTTGGCTTTATACTGAGTAATGAATTCCTCACATAGCCTTTATATTGCAGCTTAAAATGCAAGTGACACCAAAGAACAAACTCACGCCATCTCTTCAGGCCTCAGTATCCTTGGCTCTAATACAGCGAGTTATTTTCTTCTCTCTGTCATGTTTTGTATCTCTTTTTTTTTTTTTTCCCCATTAGTGCCAGTTTCAAAATTACCCTCTAGCACTGACATCCATTGAGTCAGCTCTGCAGATTTCCTTGGATGCTTGTCAGAGGTGTAAAAGCAAAATAATCCTTTTTTCAGTCAAATCTGCCTGTGTATTCACACTGGTGGATCCTGTGGTCATTGACAAGCAAAGACCTTTTTATTCTACCAAATTCAGCAAGTGTGTGTCTATGTGCGTGTAGAGTGGAATACAGAAAGTACTAGTTCAGATCCATACTAAAACCTGGTAAATCCAGCAAACAGATTGCTGGATTGGTGCTGTCAATACTGGGCTCTGTCCCTGCCTCTTCTCCCACAAGAGTGATGCAGCTGGCCTTTAAAGCTCCAGGAATTCATCTCTTGCAAGATGAACATGCTTTCCTACAAGAAGGTGGTACTCACTGGATAAACTTGTCTCTGAATCAGAATTCTTCCTGCTGCTTGGAAGAGTGGTGGTAATACTGTAGTGACAGTGATCATGAACATATACTCCTTTTACTTAGTGTTTTAGTAATGCTTTTGGAACCAGCATTGATGCTGCTTCCAACAAAAGCCCAATTTAAGTGGAGGTTAGCAGCACTTTGTTATGGCGATGGATCCTTTGCTCATCGGGTTCCAGTAGTAATTCTTACTAAGTGCGCTGGGTACCCTTTTTTGGGGGGGGAGAGAGAGAGAGAGAGAGAGACGCACACACACGTACTAAGTGCGCTGGGTACCCTTTTTTGGGGAGAGAGAGAGAGAGAGAGAGACGCGCACACACACACGCGTCACA